TGATGAAGCCCCAGATACAGTTGTCTTTCTGGGCTGCGAGTGCACATTGTCGGCTCATGTCCAGTCTCCAACCTAGTCTCCTCCAAAGCTGCTCTGATCACCACCTTCACAGTGGCTGCCAAAAAAGATAATTGGGACCTGTAATCAGGACTACAGCTTGGCACATGAGTTGGTGACCTGCCCTGTCTATCGTCCATCATCAAATACTGCAGGATTTAAATGCTTAGAGGGCAGGAGGTACATAGGCCCAGATTTTTATGCAGTCCTACCACCAAAGAACCTATTAATCATATTCTCTAGAAAGGCAAATCCACTTGCTTTCTCCCACTTTATTTTTCTTACCCCATTACTCCCATAAGCCAGGGCTGCAACTGATTTTAACTTCCAAAGTAGCCTCCCTAGAGGTATCTACTTGCTTGCACCAGCTTACGTACCACAGAGCACTGTCAGAGTTAGCTATTGTACCATATGCTGCACATCCATTGTCATGATATTTAATAAATATGCAAGGTTAAATCCCTTCTCCTTTGTGGTTTATTATTAATTCTGTCATAGCAGGAGGGAAGATTTATTTTCTCTTATTCCAGATACACCTAGGAATTCCCCTGCTCTTCCACCCTCTTGTATTTTTGGGATTGGGGCAACGTGGGTCTGATATGCATAAAGAAGGGTTTTAAGAAGAGATGGGACTTTGACATAGCATTTCAACAGCATGAGGCTCTGGGTCTATCTAACTCCTCTGTCGTCTTCGGTGAGTGGGAAAGTGCCTCTCTTCTGCACTTCGGAAATTTTTTCCAGTACTCAGTGGTCCCAGTCTGCTCTGCTGAGGGAGTCTGCCTTCTAGTTCTTGCATCCTGACAGCCAGATAATTAGATTAATTTTCTCAAGCATGATCTGAATTAGTTCTGGCTGCTTATTCAGCCTGCTAGATCCTGGCTATGGAGGGACTCCTCCAGCAGTATTGGGAGGGACGGACAGGGTCTGAATAGCTGCTGCAGTGCCAGGGATGATGAGGCCAGAACATTAAAGATATTTTCTTCTATGTGGGTGACCAAACAAACATGTGTGTCTTTGCTTAGTCTCATTTGGGGATCAGTGAACAAGTACCACCATGAATTCTCCACTCATTTCCAAAATGACTGGATCTCTGAGAAGGATCTATTTCTATGGATTCATAGAATCATTAAGGTTGGAA